AAAACACACACACAAAACTTATGTAATGAAATTAATTTATTTTTTAAGTATAAATTGTAATGAAAAAATAAAAAAAAAATAGATAATTAATTAAGATATATATTTCTAGATTATTCTTTCTATATTTTATTCAACCTATGATAATTTTTTATATTAACAATACAATAACATATTTTCTCTACCGACAGATTTGGAAAATTTTCTAGATGCATACACTTTATCGTAAAATAGTCATAATTCCAGGTGGCTCTTGTAAAGGCTTGAAAATTTATAAAGTAAATAAATCATTATTTAGTTGAAAGCTATTGTATGAATATCTTTGGAGTTATTCATATAACTCAATTGTTATTGAAAACTTTGTATAAGCCATTTAGTATAAATATAACTCTGTTGCATTTATATGTTATATAATAAAAAAATTTTTTTTTTTTTTTACATTTTGATTAAGAAATTATACATCAATTTCGTGTATTACAAATCGGTTAAATGTATTTCATTAAATCGAAGTTATATTTTTCATTTAGCATAAAATATTTTTTAAAATTTATCTACTTATTATCATATTTCATTATAATTAATCTATATTATCTATTAATCATTATTATCTTACATTTATTATATAATAATTTGTATATATTTTTCATCATTAATTGTTCAGTTTTATAAACAAAAAATCCCTGTTTATTTTGTATTTGTCTAGTTATATTAAAGATCCCCCCCCTCCCCTCCTCGCCCCTGCCCTTTTGTTTTGTTCATTTAAAATTAAAGAGTATATATATTTTAAACCGTCATTGAGAAGAATTCAAGTAAATGAATTTTTCACTTATACTTGTATTTAAATTATCGAAGCAAATAATACAAATTTTTTATTCAGTCGATTAAAAGCACATTTGAGTAATAATCTGTTAAAATTGAATTTCTTTTCAGATAAAATTTTCCTTGACAATAGAAACTGTTAAAGAACTCAATGTATTAACATAATAAAGAAAATCCTTAATTGCATACAATAAGATAAAAGACGCATACCTTTCTTCTTCTCTATACTTTCATCTACATAAAATAGTCTATTATTGATATAACTGCATTGTCGAATAATTTGTTGAGACCGTTACGGAATAATAAATAAAATTTCTAAATTTTTAATTTTTAATTAACAATTAAAGATTATCATTAGGGAAGGTCGGAAATCTTAGCGGGACACATTCGCATGCACCCGAAACTTTTGTATGAAATCGATAAATATGGACAAATTTTTTCAACTTCCACTTACAGCAATTAATATTTAGGCTTTGGATTTAAGACAGTGCAGTAGAAAATGACGAAGCTACAGAGAGTGGATTATCGAAAATAGCAAAAATGTATTAGCGAGTGCCGAGTCTAATAAGATAAAATTGTCGTGTGCGACTAACCTGGTGGCAGACTGGCGTTGACGGACAATTGCTTCAGGCACTCCTTCTGGCGCTCCAATTTAATCAGTCGCAGTTCATCCTCTTGCAAGGTACTTCCTGCCATCGTCGTATTTCCTGGCATCTATGGACAGAACAAGAAAGAATAGCATTCGAGAATACTGTCGCAAGGTTTATTTTTGGCCGGGGCGGGGAGGGGGGCGGCGGCGGCGGCGGCGAATCATTGTTTACTGTTTGTTTTTGTGCTTAATGCATGTATTTTCAAATGACATCTCTACATTATGCAAAACTATTTTATTCTCCTTTATGTAAATTGTAACAGTTTTTATATTCGTGTATTATTTTATTGCAAGCTTACAGGAGATTTTTATATTTTTCTTTTTTCATTATATAATGTGCAAATATAATAAGCCTAATTTACATTGAATCCAACTGTCGATTGTTTTAAGAATTTTCAGTGTCAATATTAGCAATTTTACCGTACAAAGTTATGGAAGTTCTTTGAAATTCTATTATTTAGATTTTTATTACATTTGTCGCAGTTGTATTATTAAATTTTTAATAGAGAGTAAAATTTCGATGGAAATGAATATTTTCTATGAAATGTACCATGAAACTTTAAAATAATTAAATAATATTTTACTATAAAAATTGATATAAAAATTTAAAAAATTTCGAATAATTATATTATATTTCGCTACTGGAATTGGAATTCCCGCTTTGAAGAAAGAATATTTAAAAATTTCAAAATCCTGAAATTTAATTGAAATAGTTAAAATGATTTTATTTAACCTTTTTATTTAATGCAACTCAATTACATTAAAATTTATACATAGATAGCCTTATTTTTAACCTTATGAAAATTATTTTTTACATTTTGTAAAAATTTATGTTTTATGTAATTTAGATTAGAAACGTGGAACTGCTTCTTTTTTAAATATCAATGTTATTATCAATATTTATATCATTTGTAATAAAATAGGATCAATCAATATCATCGTTGAACTATGAAATTAAATTAACTTTTCATTGTTATCTAAATCGCATATCTCAAAGATAGAATAAAAAAAAATTAAATGGAATAAAATTTATTAAATCTTTTATGATAATTGTTTATAATCAATTTGTAATTTTTATATTTTCGTTGTTTAAACTAATATAACAAATAGATAGAAAACACAATAATTTCCTGGTGTTTTTTTTTTTTTTTTTTTTTTTTTTTTTTTTTTTTATAATATAAAACATAAAGGTTAAGTTTATTTAGAAAGTGAATGTTTTTGTAAAGATCTTGTTATCTTGTATTCATCGTATCTCTGTTAGAGGACTTATTCGCTATTAAGTTTTAAATATGATAATTGTATTTGCAATATGTATGTGACGATTTGTAAATACATGAAAAATCTTTCTTTAAATAAATTGAATCGGATAGATGTGATTCGATAGAGAAAAGATGTGATTGCTAAAAGGAAAGTAAAATATTTGAGGCATTAACAATCTTTAAGGCAATCCATCTTTCATTAATGCATAAATGATCCTTCATCTTTATAATTAGAAGATGACGAATAGAGAAATTGACCAGTTAAGAAAATTTGTATTTGTTTCTTTATTGTATATTAGGTTTCGTGTAAAACAAAAAAAAAAAAAAATAAATAAATAAATGCATTTATTATTCAATTACAATATAATAAACCTTTAAACATAGGTATTTTTTTTTTTTAATTTTATAAATAACAAATGACGAATATTGATTTTGGTCTCGTTTTCTTTATAGCTTCCATGTGCTCCTTATGATCTTGAACCAATTACATGAGATTCGCAAGTCACGCTTATTATTTTCGCGTTAGAAAAATATCTTGTAAGAAGTACGACGGATAATCTAAGTAAAACGTTTCAACAGCCATGTTTTCTTATTTTCTTACCTCAGTGTTAACCTGTTATTCGATTAAAGTAGCCATTGGTGGCTAATAACTGTAACATATATAATGTTAAATATTTGAGTCGTAATTTTGCATTATTAAATTAGATCTTCGAAATTGTCATGCCATCATTAATAAAAATTCATGGAATTTGAGGAGGAAACCATATAATTAATTTTCTTTACGCGTCTTCAATATTACAACTAATGTTTTAGCTGACAATTAAAATAAATAATATATAAGTACGTATAAAGTAAATGTACATAAAGTACATGATAATTATTATACAAAACAAACGAGAAAAAATAAAATACAAAAAACAATTCAACAAAAAATTATAATACATATCATAAGAGTACAGTACATTTTATATTATTTGTGATGCCATTAGTATTTAATTTTCAAATGTAGTGCTTCTGAAATTGATATAAATAAATGTATACTGTGTTCAGTGTAAATGGTGAAACTATAATTTATATAATTCATGACATTAGTTAAAATAATATTACTGTTAACCTGTTAATAGATATAAAAAAAAAAAAAAAAAAAAAAAAAAAAAAAAAAACTATTTAGAATAAAACTAAATATTAAAAATACTAAAATAAACATAATAGAATAGAAAAAGTGTTTTAGAAATCAAAAGTTATAACATCAGCATATCGATGAAAGTACGAGAAGCAAATGTCCAGGTTTTAGGGACAGCCAAACATGAATTTATTGTATAATGAAATAAAAAAATCTTCATTGCTTGCAACATATAATAAATACAAAGCTACGTAAAAAAGCTTCGTTTCGGCTATATATTTTCTCTTACACTCACTTATTTTCGCCCTTTCTCTTCATTATCCGTTGGGCGAACTTTTTATGTTCCTTCCGAACTACGAGAAATCCGTGTTGGCACACAGTTGTATCGTTCATCTAAGATTTCTTGCGAATATACAGGACAGTCGTAAGCTATTTCAGGATAGACCGCGAGGACGTGCGGGACTTTTTCAATTTTTCAATTTTTCGTCCTGCCATTTTCTCGACCTTCGATTTGCCCTTGCAAATATGTAAGGGAGGATACGCAATAAGCTCGGAGACGTGAACGGGAAGAGGGAGAAGAAGTAACGGCAAAAATAAATCGCAAATGTCTAGGAGGTGGAGGATGTACTTGCTATTTTTGCGTTGAGTAAGAAGAATGGTAAACAGAAGGATAAGGCAAAATTTCCTTGAAGATATAACGTTGAAGTGAACTGTATTATAATTTTTTCCAAATGTATTATTCTGATTTATCGTCATAGTTTTTCAATTTATGTAATTTATAGCTTAAAGATTTTTAATACTTTTTGTCCATTAAGTTTTATTTCTATTTATTAATTTAGAATTTTTTTTTTCTTTTTTTTTTTTTGCGAAAAATTGTTCAAGCTATTCTACTTTATATTATATTATAAATCATTCGATATGTCCGCTGACTCGAAATTTAAAGTTATTTTTTTAATGAAATTTTAGATAAGAATTTCAGGCGATCTATGTGGATTTATAGATCATATTGAGTTATAAAACGATTTACTGCATTATTTGTCGATTTAATAAGGAATTTAGTCGAAATAAAATCATATTTATGGTATAACATTCGATAAAAAATTGTCTACTATGAATGAAAATGCTGCATTTCTTTCAAGTTTAACTCAGCTATTTGGTTCACCTGGCGATCATCGAGCATCGTTTACCTATAAAAACAATTATCAATAGGCCATAAGTAAAATAAGCCGACAAAATATCGTTTTATTAATTACCAAAATTTTGCAGATCTGACGTAAAATTTTATCACAGCGAATAAATTATTTTCAAAGTCCAGATTTGATATTTTACAATTTTTCGATTAAATTATCCAAAGAAGTAGGAGAAAAATAAAGCTATAATCCATTCCAACTACAGAAAAAAGTAAGATTTAGTAGTAAAGTGAGATCGGAACGACTACTTTACGATATTAGCACTTACGCGATTTGCCGGCAAGTCGTAGGGGACTATTCGTTTAATATCTTCCGACTCGTCCCTGGAGATGAGGATTATTGAAAGGTAAGTTCACTCTCGCAGGGATGTGTTCAATATTGCAAAGGATGGGGAGGTCAAGGATATTAAATATCCTTTTATGCCGGGCATGCACATGTCATTTTTAACAATGCATGCACACCTCATGAATTCTCAATCATGAATTCTGAGGATTTCTTAACGCGGCTACTTTCTTTTTTCATCAAATTTCACAGGTTCATATAATGGTTTTACAAGATTTTAATATACATTGTTTTATTTAAAAATCAATCATAATTCATTGCGTCTTTTCATATAAAAAGACTCTCCAATATAATATATACGATATTTATTTCAATAAAATTCATTAAAAAATATAAAATAGTATATAAAATTAAAATAATTTACTCGTGGCCATTTTGACATTAAGGCAAATTTAAGTTAGTCTAAAACTGTTGATAAACAATTTTTTTTCTTTTTATTTGATAAAAATATGTATTTATATATTTAACAATGTTTAAACAATCAACCATATTACACAAACAAATATGAACAGATTTTGAGAGAAAAAAACTAATATCATAGACACGTATTGTCGTTATATGTATTTGCTGTTAAGTAAACCTACGCTGAATTCAAAACTATATTCTATCACACATATAATTCCGTCTTTTACACGTATACACAACTATTCAGGATAATTTTACACGAGTATTTTAAATTAAATTTTTGTTTCTCGTAGAGTAAATAATTCGTATATATATATAATATTTTACAATAATATACTAATCAATAAAATATTCTACTTATTTACATGCAAACCTTAAATTTCACATTTTTCAATTCATATTGCATATTATAAGTTTTTGTATTTTTAACATTATAAAATATTTTTTGTCATAATGAATATGTCAAAGTTAATTAAGCATATTATATTATTTTAATGACTGATAGAATGTAAAATTTTGAAAATCTTGCAATACAAAAAATACTGCTAAATATTCGTAACATTAAAAATTTTAACATTTTTTTAATTGTGCAATTTTTCTTTATTGGACACATTGTGCGTATAAAATAAAAGTAAAAATGAATGAACTCATTATTGGAAAATATTGCAAGTTATGTGACACATATTAAATCAGTGAAAAACTAATTAAATAATCATTAGCCATTCGCTCGTCACAAGTCAATAAAA